TTCTAGAACCCGCAGATCGTTCCCTTCTGTTGTATGCCAGAATTATGTGGCACATCCTTTCTTAATTATACCCTCCTCACTGCGTTGAGTGGCAGTTCAGTGGCCAATCCAACTCTTTGTTTGTGGGAATGTCGCCCTTAAAGTTGACATCATTCATTGTAAGATTTGTTGGTCCCGTATGTGCAGAGTTGGCACTAACTTCATCATCATCTCCTTTTAATGACCCCATAATCCCTTGCATCGGGGCGGAGTCTGGGCAACTGAACGGAGCTGAGAATTTACTGGCCGGATCCCCTTCCTGTTGCCAATGAGGAGTTTTGTTCAGCAGATATATATTCTCAGTGTGTCCAGAGAGAGAGAAATATCTGCACAGAGTTGGCACTAACTTTATCATCAACTCCTTTTAATAACCCCATAATCCAGGGGTGGGAATGGAGATTTTGCAGTATCCTTCCCCCAGGAGTGGGGAGGGAATGGGATTTTTGCAGTATCCTTCCCTTGGAGTAGGGTGGGAATGGGGATTTTGCAGTATCCTTCCCCCAGGAGTGGGGAGGGAATGGGGATTTTGCAGTATCCTTCCCCAGGCAGGATAGGGTGGGAATGGGGATTTTGCAGTATCCGTCCCCCGGAGTGGGGAGGGAATGGAGATTTTGCAATATCCTTCCCCTGGAGTGGGGAGGAAAATGGAGATTTTGCAATATCCTTCCCCTGGAGTGGGGAGGGAATGGGATTTTGCAGTATCCTTCATCCTTGCCCCAGGAGTGGGGAGGGAATGGGGATTTTGCAGTATCCTTCCCCAGGAGTGGCAGGAGAATGGGGATTTTGCAGTATCCTTCCCCAGGAGTTGGTGAGGCAATGGGGATTTTGCAGTATCCTTCCCCAGGAGTGGTGAGGCAATGGGGATTTTGCAGTATCCTTCCCCCAGGAGTGGGGAGGGAATGGAGATTTTGCAGTATCCTTCCCCTGGAGGTGGTGGGAATGGGGATTTTGCAGTATCCTTCCCCCAGGAGTGGGAGGGGAATGGGGATTTTGCAGTACCCGGTAGTAAAAAAAAAAAAAAAATTTGGGCTTCACCACTGGCGCACGCTTAACATTTTCGGTTCTGAGCAAGCCACCTCTAGGTAGTAGTGGGTTTTATAGAAGGATCCTTTTGACTCCTGCCCTTTGAAAAGGACCCCAGAGTTTTGAAACGGGCTTGTTCAATTTGAAAAAAATAAAATAAAATCACCAGGAGCTCCTGGGCAGTGTGAGTGTGTGACTGCAAAAGGAGCGAAACGCGTGCACAGCAGAAGAAAATAGCTGTCCGTCCCGTCTCCCGTCGGTCCCCCCCCCCCCCGCTGCAAATAGGAAACTCGCAGACGGAGGATATTTTAGCATTGCTTTTCCTGTGTGTGTGTGTGTCTCCGCCTGCGAGCGTGGGGATTTGGATCGTTCTGCACGGACCGAGTTCTTTAGGTTGTATTGGCGGGCTTTAAATGTTTCTCTGAAATAGTTCTTTACCTCATCTCGGACAATTCAGAAAACTGTCTGAAAACAGCTGGCCAGTGGCTGGGTTGAATTTTGAGGCCCTTGGCCGTGGGATGCTGGGTGGTAGTCGTAAGCACGAGGATGGGTTGTAAGTAACTTTTTGTTCAGTGCCGCTGCAATTATGAACGGTTGCTAATCAAGGGTTATAAGAATTGTGCTTCCTTCTTCTCTCTCCATTTTCCCCCTCCCTCCCTCTTTGAATGTTTCTTCCTTCTTTCCATCCATCCATCCACTCATCCATCCATCCATCATCTTTGAACCAACCTTCCTTCCTTCCTTCCTTCCATCATCCATCCATCCATCCATCATCTTTGAATCTTCCCTCCTCCCTCATTCTTCCCTTCCTTCCATCCATCCATCTACCCATCCATCAATCTTCTATGAATGTTCCTTCCCTTCCGCCCTCCATTTTATCTTTCCTTCCTTCCATCCATCCATCCATCCATCATCTTTGAATCTTCCCCCCTCTCCTCCTTCCTTTCTTCCTTCCTTCCATCCATCTACCCATCCATCAATCTTCTATGAATGTTCCTTCCCTTCCGCCCTCCATTTTATCTTTCCTTCCTTCCTTCCTTCCTCCTTCCTTCCTTCCTTCCTTCCTTCCTCCATCCATCCATCCATCCATCCATCATCTTTGAATCTTCCCTCCTCTCCCTTCCTTCCATCCATCCATCCATCCATCCACCCATCCACCCATCCATCCATCAATCTTCTATGAATGTTCCTTCCCTCCGCCCATTTTATCTTTCCTTCCTTCCTTCCTTCCATCCATCCATCCATCATCTTTGAATCTTCCTCCCTCCCACCCTCCTTCCATCCATCCATCCATCCATCCACCCATCCCTCAATCTTCTATGAATGTTCCTTCCCTTCCCCCTCCATTTTATCTTTCCTTCCTTCCTTCCTTCCTTGAATCGTCTTTGAATATTCCTTCCTCCCTGCCTCCATTTTATCATCTTCCTTCCTTCCTTCCTTCCTTCCTTCCTTCCTTCCTTCCTTCCTTCCTTCTCTTCCTTTCTTCCTTCCTTCCTTCCTTCCTTCCTTCCTTCCTTCCTTCCTTCCTTTCTTTCTTTCTTTCTTTCTTTCTTTCTTTCTTTCTCTTTCCCTCCCTCCTTCCCTCCTTCTTGAATCTTCCCATCCATCCATCCATCTTCTTTGAATGTTTCCTCCCTCCCTCCCTTCCTCCATCCCTGAATCTCCTCCTTCCTTCATTATGAAATATTGACGGATGGTGGGTGTCCCTGCAGAGTTAAACGCTCCATCCTTTCCATCTCTTCAGCTCCGTGAGGTTGTTTTTTTTTCTCTCTCTCTCTCCGCTTCCTTCTGCCCCACACACGTTGCCAATTCTGCTTCATCCAAGGCTGCCGTGTCTCTGGGATCAATTAAAAGCTCGTCACGGTTCTACTGGGAGAGATTATTCTGCGTTTTCTGGCACTTGTTCTATCTCCCAACCAGAGCCCAGATATCCCTCAACCTCCTTTGAGTACCTTCTTAAGGTTTTTTTTCCCCCTTCCCTTGTTTTCCCATCTCAAGGCCTCCTTCCTTTTTTCCCACCCACCCCTCTCCAAATTGTGCACTGCAAAATAATCTGATTTTGGGGTGGGTGGGTTTATAGGAGCTTTGTTGGAGAGGTTTAATTGTTCACGTATAGGACATTTTTGTCTCCTATCATTTGCCTTTTAATTTGCTGGAATTTCAAGAGAGAAATTGTGGGTTTTCTTTCCCTTTTTGGTGGGGGAAAAAATATCCACGATTTGTGCCAAACGCATTGGAGAGAAACAGAGATAGGTGGGCTGTGGATAAACTGTCAGGTTTCGAGGTCGTCTCAAATAAATTGCATTTCAAACAAAGTCTTTGAAGGAAAACTCCTATTTATTAAGCACGACATTCTAAAATCCGACTCCATCGAAGCCAACACTGACTTCCAGACCCAAAACCCTCCCTTTCCGTTCCCCACTCCCCTGCACTCATTGGCCATCTTCCAAGTCATTCTACCCCTACTCTACCGCTCCAGCTCAAAGGAATTTCCCCCCTCCCATCCCATCTCCTAGGGGATATTATCTCCAGGGAAAATAAGTAGGTGAAAAGTCAAACGTCCCTTTCCAGACGCCTCCGCTTCTCCTTCTTATGTTAGCACTAGAATAAATGCAGCTTGAAGTGCTGACATAGACTTTTCTAGGTCAAGGTATTAACGTGAAGTGTTGAGACCACTTTATAAGGCCTTGGTAAGGCCACACTTGGAATCCTGCATCCAGTTTTGGCCGCCACGATGTAAAAAAGATATGGAGACTCTGGAAAGAGTGCAGAGAAGAGCAACGAAGGTGATTAGGGGACTGGAGGCTAAAACATATGAAGAACGGTTGCAGGAACTGGGTATGTCTAGTTTAATGAAAAGAAGGACTAGGGGAGACATGATAGCAGTGTTTCGATATCTCAAAGAAGAGGGGGTCAAACTATTCTCCAAAGCACCTGAGGGCAGGACGAGAAGCAATGGGTGGAAACTAATCAAGGAGAGAAGCAACTTAGAACTAAGGAGAAATTTCCTAACAGTGAGAACAATTAACCAGTGGAACAACTTGCCACCAGAAGTTGTGAATGCTCCAACACTGGAAGTTTTTAAGAAGAGGTTGGACAACCACTTGTCTGAAATGGTGTAGGGTTTCCTGCCTAAGCAGGGGGTTGGACTAGAAGACCTCCAAGGTCCCTTCCAACTCTGTTATTCTATTCTATATGATACAGCTACCGTATTTGGTTTTTTTTACTTCCTTATTTTTCTGCAAAAAAGGGGAAAAAGAGAAGGGATCGGAAAAGGGGAGGGACACAATGAAATGCTTTTTATGAGCTGATGGGCCGCCCGTCGCTTCGTGGGTTCTCGCCATAAAAAAAAAAGTCTCACAGTTGTCGGACGTTGGCAGCTGGCATGCAGCCGTTGTCCGAGTTGCAATAATAGATGGCAGTTTGTAAGATAGCGTGCGCTTTATCTCTGGATCTCTGGGGCGATCGGCATCAAACTTCTCCCCTCGCAGAAATGCGATTCTGAGAGATCGCACAGACGTAACTGTACGTGTCGCAAAAAAACATCCAGTGCAAAGATTGTGCAAAAATATTGCCAGAGTTGGCATCTTAACAAATCAACTGGATTGGGTTACATCGTTGACTTATCCCTTCTGTGCCTGCTTTATTTTTCCTCCCTCCGCAGCGCCATTCCTCTACTGCTGTCTCCCCTCTTCCGAGCTCTGAAAAATATTTTTGGATCAACGGAGGCTTTTAATATTAATCTTTATAAAGAAATGTACAGTGGTGGGTTGCTACTGGTTCATCCCGGTTCGAGCAAACTGGTAGCGCCGGCAGGAGGCTCCGCCCACCTGACCGGATGTCATCAAATACCCTCTGCGCATGTGCAGAAGCTTCTGCGCATGAGCGAACCAGTAGCAAAGGTAAGTAAAACCCACCACTGAGAAAGGTATACATTTTCGTGTCGGAGAGTTTCTTCTCTTGGCAGAAGTTCTGACGTATTTTTTATTTATCTTTTTTCCTTCCACTTTTCCAGAACCGGGGGCGCTTGGCGGAGAAGAGAACGATACCCTTGCCTCCCTCTCGGACTCCGAAAAAGGAACCCCCTGCTCTCTTCTCACACAGCGACAACCACAAGGAGGTGGAAAAAATCAACGGGCATCACCCTCATGTCAAACAGGAGGAGGACTTGCATATTAGTATCATGAAAAGAAGGTATTCTTTTCTTCTTTTTTTTCCCCTCCCAAAAGCAGAATTGTGTAGGCCCGAGATGGCAAACTTATGGCATGCGTGCCCGAAGTGACACGTGGAGCCATGTTGCTTGTCACGCGTGGTGTCACCCGTTCCTATTCCGGGGTTCTGGTGTGTATGCGCTCACGACAATCAGCTGGCCTTTTTTGCGTGCTGGAAACTGGACTTTGTATGTCCAAACGGGGCAACTGAATTCTGCCCCATTTTATGACTTCCCTTGCCACCGTTGTTAAGTGCACTGTATGGTGGTTAACAATGGTTGTCAACAGCGATAGGCTTCAAATTTTTTTACTACCGGTTCTGTGGGTGTGGCTTGGTGGGCGTGGCGTGGCTTGGTGGGCGTGGCAGGGGAAGGATACTGTAAAATCTCCATTCCCTCCACAATCCATGGGAAGGTTATTGCAAAATCCCCGTTTCCTCCCGATCAGCTGGGACTCTGGAGGCAGAGAATAGATGTGGGCGGGGCCAGTCAGAATTTTTACTACCGGTTCTCTGAACTACTCAAAATTTCCGCTACCGGTTCTCCGGAACTGGTCAGAACCTGCTGAAACCCACCTCTGACCCGTCGCACATGCGCTTTGCTCGCTTGCGTGCCTTCCGTGTATGCACCTGGCCTTAAAAATGTGCCTAAATAGGACGGCATAGAGCCGGGGCAGTTGGGCAGGCCTACCCGCAATCTCCGTTACCGTTTCGCACGAATCAGTGACGAACCGGCTGAATCCCACCTCTGGTTGTTAAGTGAATTTGGCTTCCCCATGGATTCTGTTTGTCAGGAGGTCGCAAAAAGTGATCATGTGTCCCCGGGTCACTGCAACTGTCATAAATACGAGTCGGTTGCCAAGAATTTTGAGCACGCGACCATGGGGGAGGCTGCAACCGCTGTGTGAAAAACTATTATAAATCACTTTTTTCAGTGCCGTTGTAACTTTGAACGGTCACTGAATGAACCGTTGTGTAAGTCGAGGCCTACCTGTATAAGTCTCTTCTGGAAAAACCACAGAGCTGCCATCTCAAATTTGGTCAAAGTTGGGCTAACTTTCCCCCTCCCCCTTCCTGGGCAGTTGTGGGATTCAAATAATTTAACAACTGGTTCTCTGCCCTAATGACCGGCTGGGTGGGTGTGGCCATGGTGGGCGTGGCCAGGGGGTGTGATAAGCAGTAATCTGCTTCCTGCACCCCACTGGGAGCAAAAACAGGCCGCGGGGGGACTCCTGAAAGGGGCAAGATGGAGTGGGGCCAGCCAGCAATTTAACAACTGGTTCGAATGAATCGGTCCGAACCGGCCGAATCCCACCCTGTTCCTGGGTTTTGATGGGTGAGATTATTTTTGGAGGCCAACAATTCCAGTAAGCCTGGGGGTGGAGGGGGGGGGAGAAACCCCCATTACTATAAACCTGGGAGATGTTGCATACGCTAATAAGCAAGTTGGCCAGGCTGGCATCGAGACTGTGGGTTGAAACCGCCAAAAGAGACGGGTGCCAGGACGTCCTAAGGCAAGGACGTGGGTTCAGCAACATGAAAAGGGAGCATTGAAGGGAGGATTGGAGTGCACCGTTTGCCCCGAGCCAAAAAAGCAGATTAAAAACGAGACGTTGCCAGCTCTTTTGGGTCCCTGACAAAAATCAGTACCTGATGTTCCCTGGAATTTCCCGGCCTGAGGTCTGGATGAAGCCACACGTGGCACCGTGCCACTGGTGTGTTCTCTATTCCTGCACGCTCCTCCAGAGCCGGCGTAGAATCCAGAATTAAAACCAAACCAGAAACATACATTTAAGGATCCCAGAGAACAAATTCTCTCTCTCTCTCTCTCTCTCTCTCTCTCTCCTGTGCTAGGAAGTGCCATGTGGTTAACCTTTATTTCGTGGGCATATAAATTTAATAAATATATTTCAGAAGATGGGGGTGAAAGATACAGCACCGGTGATGACTAGGGTTAAACAGTGGTGAAATCAGTGGTGAAATCTAAAATTTGTTACTACCGCTTCTGTGGGCGTGGCTTGGTGGGGGTAATGTGACGGTGGGTGTGGCCTTTTTTTTTTTAAAAAAACCATTTTTTCTACAACCTCTTCGGCGAAGAGGTTATAAAAAAAAAAGCTTTCAAAAGGCTCTGACGATCCCAGCTGAGCCGCGTGATCCCTCCCCACCCCCCACAAATGTTAAGGTTGATGATGTTATTCCAAGCCTGCTGTCAGGTTTGATGTCATCTCAAATAAATTGCACTCCCAAACAATGAATCTTTGCTGATATATTCCATTTATTGAGTACGACAGATCTGGCCCCGACTTCGTCATAGCCGATACTAACCCTCTGACCCCCAAACCCTTCCATTTCCGTTCCCCAAGTCTCATTTTCTCATTGGCCATCTTCCAAGTCAGTCTCCCCAGCTTCTGACCTCAGCCCACAGGAATGTCCCCCTCCCCTCCCATCTCCTAGGGGATATTATCTACAGAGAAAATAAGTAGGTGAAAAGTCAAGCCTCGTCTCCTCCTTTCTATGGCGGCATCAGAATGCTGACACCAGCTTGGTTTGCTTAGCAGATCTTGGTTCTTTCCATCCTTGTCTCCCCCCTGAGCTTGGAGGGAGGGGCAGCTCAGCCGGGAGGGTGAAGGATCCATCTGGGTCGCCTTATTAAAACTCTTCCTCCGATGGTGCGTTAAGAGGACCAGCAGCTGAGCAGGTTAAAATGGAAGGTGATGCCACGCCGCTTGCTCGGAACGTCTCCTGCCTGCCTCTTTTCTCTCTTTTAATTATTAGTAATTTATAAAGGAGACCTCCTTTGCCCCTCTCTACCCCACCTCCGCGAGGCAGCCCGGGCTGCCTGATAGCTTGCAAATTATTAGTAATTTGATTTCAATTGAATGAATAACCCGCTACAGCGAAGCGCGGGTTCGTGGCGGAAATCTAATTGGAGATAACACCATAGAAACTTGAAAAATGCAGAAGGGGGGAGGGTGGGGAGTGGATGGGGGTGGGTTGAGCTTTGCAGAGCTGCTGGGGGAAGGAATATGCAAAGCTGCGTGTGGAGGGGGGGGGAAAGAAAGGAGATAGAAGATAATTGGGATTTAATTTCATTTCTTACCTATTCATTTGTTTAAAGATGGGTGTTTAATTATCCAGCGCTGCGGATGGGAATGATTGGCCAAGGATGGATGAGCGTGCGGTTTTCCCACCGGGCCCCAAAAATAAAAAAAATAAAAAAAAATAAAAAGTAAAAAAATGGGTTGGATGCCAATCTCCAAGGCTTTGATGTCAAATCTTTCAGGAGAAACAGGTTTGATCGTGAAACTGGTTTTACATTCGGCTGACAGGCCTCTTTGAAAGTGCGTGCCCCTTTTTTGGGGGGGGCGGGAGGAGAGAATTAATGGGATTTCCTCCCCCACCATTCCAGGCAGTCCTCTTTAAAAAGGTAAAGGTTCCCCTTGCATATATGTGCTAGTCGTTCCCGACTTTACGGGGCCGGTGCTCAGTCCCGTTTCAAAGCCGAAGAGCCAGCGCTGTCCGAAGACGTCTCCGTGGTCACGTGGCCGGCATGACTCAACGCCAAAGGTGCACGGAACACTGTTCCCTTCCCACCAAAGATTGTCCCTATTTTTCTACTTGCATTTTTTTTTTTTTACGTGCTTTCGAACTGCTAGGTTGGCAGAAGCTGGGACAAGGCATGGGAGCTCACTCCGTTACGCGGGGATTCGAACCGCTGAACTGCCGACCTTTTGATCGACAAGCTCCCGATAGGGGGCATGACAGTTCTCCGCAGATAGGTTCGCACAAGATAGACCTCCGCAGAGAAAAAAAGGATTGTGTTTTCCCTGGCATCAAGCTGGCTCCATCTTGGTGTGCAATTAACTTGGTTTCAATCCGGGCCTGCCAGCCAAACAAACAAACCATGATCGCTTTCCCATCCTCGTTTTTTGACCAGCTTAGGTACGAATCTTGGATAGAAGTCACAAGGAACCCAGTGAAGTGATTGGTGTGTGTGTGTGTGTGAGGGCTGCCTAGAGTGGGGAATACAGACAGTCCTCGTTTAGCGTCCACAATGGCAACTCGGTCACGAAGAAAGGCGAAGTGAAATTGCGACGGTACCGACGACCTGACTTCATTTCCAAAATGGCGGGCTGAAATATCCAGATTTCCGGGAGGTTCTGACAGAAGAGAGGGAAGAGAAAAGAGAGAGAGAGAGAAAAAGAGGGAGAAAGACCCCCCTCCCCGTAAGAATTTAATCTTCGCTTCCATTTTTATCCTGAACTTCGCATGAGGAATTTTGGGCCCCCCCACGTTGGCAGAGATGCCAAGTATTTTCAAGTCTTCCCTTCCCAATTCGGCAGGCACCTTTTGAAGGGGAGGGGGGGCGATCCTTAATCTTCCCCCCCTTTCCTCCCCCCGCCTTTGATCTGCCTCTCTTAATTTCCTTGTTTGTTGTTCTTGTGCCGTCTGAGCCCCTCCAGTATCTTTGCCGTCCTTGATGAAAAATAAAATCTTAATTAGGAATGAGCTGGTCCTTTCCTCCGCTTGGCATCAAATCTTGCTAACAACTGAAACGGCTTCTCTTTCCCCCTCCTCCCCACTTTCTCTCTTTCCTGAAAGGAGAAAAGATTGTCATCTCTTTAGGCATTGTTGCAGCCATTCTTTCCTTTCCTTTCCCAGGGCTTTGAAGTTAACACACATGTCTGTTGTGTTATTGTAACTCAAAGCATGCCTCTCTTCTTTTTAAGCATCGAGTGATGTTCCCTTGTAAAAACGCTCCGTTGCCTCTTGTGGAAGGAAGGAAGGAAGGAAGGAAGGAAGGAAGGAAGGAAGGAAGGAAGGAAGGAAATCTTTCCTTCCTCAAAAACAACGCATAGTATATTTTTAAAAAAACTCAGAATACAAAATAACAGAGCCAAAAGGGACCTTGGAGGTCTTCTAGTCCAACCTGGAGCTCTGGAGGGCTGGAATAAGGTGTGCAGTAATTTATTTATTTATTATTT